GTTTGTAAGTCATTTATTATGTGCTCTTCAAAGCTAATTAATAAAAGTTTTCTAGTTCTATAATTAATAAATTCAGTTGCTCTAATAGTTAAATATGTTTGGGGCTGGGAGCTGATAAAAGAAGTGTACCATATGTGCAAAACTGTGATTGGGAGGGTCCCCCAGAAAGCTAGGGTCAGCTTTGATTGTACGGCACACACAAACACAAGTAAGCACACACTCACTCCAGGAGACCAATTTGACAGAAATTAGAATTAAGTGATTAGAACCCTGACTTCCTCCCGAACTTCTGTTCATGTATTATAGAAGAAACACTCCTTTAGTCAGCAACAGTGCATTTCACAAAAATGGAAATGGGAGTGGGCAGTATGTCAGAGCAGTGGACAGCATTTCTGCTTGTGCCACCTTGTACTTTTTGATCGCTACCGAAGTCAGGGCTGGGACAGAACCCCAGGGGGTACTGAGAAGGGGTCAGATATGTGTGTCTGTGCAAGGTGCCTTGTGTAGGACAGCAGTTATAAGAATGGAATTGGAGTTATGCAAGATCCCAATTATTAGTTGCGCTTAAAGAATGTAAAAAATGTGTCAAGGCTCTAGCTACTGGGTTCAGTATTGGGTGCGGCGCACCTAGAAGTGTCGGGGTAGTTCAAAGTGAAACAATCTGAATTCTGAAATTTCAAATGAACTCTCAGTTTTCTTCTGTTTCTTTTGTGCCGGTGCACAGATGCGTGTAAATGTGTTACAGAAACTAGGATTTGGTACAATTGATTCCTTCAGTGGGACAATGACGGGATGTGCTATAATCTATTAATAGCCAACCGATGTGTTTTTATTGTAAAATTACTTTTTTTTTTCATAAAATACTGCAGCACCTTGTGGCCTTAGGTTGGTAAGAAGGGACAGGTAGTATATTTGCATCCCTACCTTGCCCCTTGCCATTGTGTAGGGTGGGAGGGTGGGCTGGGGCCTGGGTTCGATTCATGGGCTGTTATCAGCGTGAAGCTTCTATTGTAGCGTTCTGCTCCCTCCCGGAATTATGGACTGTGCTGTTGCCCCATGACCTTGAGCTGCAGCTTCCAGCTCCCCAACTGTACCCTGAATTAGAGGGGGTCCCCTTAGTGCTCACTCTCTTTTCACAGCATAAACCCGCAGTCCCTTTCTCCTTATCTCTCCGTTGGTGAACAGCACCTTCTTCTGTAACTAAAAAAAAATCCTCTGCTTTGATGAAGCCGCAAACTTGCAGCCTGTCACGCCCAGGCTGGGACTGACTCTTGCCCTGTTGTCCCCCCTGGCAACAGCAACAATCCCACGAGCTCTCAACCTGTCACTCAAACCAGACGCCTTCTACTCAGATCAACACTTTTTCAGTCAAGCTCCCAATCTAGATTACAACCAGTCTAATATAAGGCTCCTTATTTAAGACAGTTCACCCTGATCTGTGTTGTTGTTCCATCATTTAAGGCCCCTAGTATTAATGTTTTCAATGTTTTCTCCAAACAATGACCCAGAGGTAATCCACTTTGGTCTGAATTTATTTTTCCTACCTGATCATTTTCTTACCATTTTTGTTATTGCCATCCTCATCCCACTCTGTTTCGGCTGGGATCCTCACTTATCTCTTTCTCTTAATTCACTAATCTAGGCATTCACTGCTTCTATGCAAAGATCTTAAGGAGTGCTGTGAGAACTGCCCTTGGGCTTCGAACAATCATCGCTCAACTCAAATAGCAACTGCTTCATAACACCTCCAGCTATTCTCTGCCGCTGTCCTCTCATCCAAACGGGGTCACTGAACAGGTTTGAGTTCGAATCACAGTACTGTATGTTCTCCCCATGTTTGCTTGGGTTTCCCCCAGGTGAAGCGGTTACCTCACACTTAAAACATTCTGGCAATTTAACCGGTTTCTTGGTAAAACTGGCCCTGGTATGAGTGTGTGTGTTTGTGTCTGTGTGTGCTTCGCGTTGGACTGGTGTCTGGTACGGAGTGTATCCTGTCTTGCATGGATATACAGTACTGTAGAGGTTAGAATATTGATTGCCTTCTTTGTTGTTACAGTATTTGAGCTCCATCAATTATCTGTTTTTTTTATGGTCTTGTTTGCTGTTTGCACTCTGATAAATGGTGTTTTACTGCCACCTCGTGGTCATGACTTACCCACAAGCACTTCTACGCCCTGCAATACTTTTAAATAGGTGCACATAACTAAGAGAGTTACATGCATAGCAAAATATGTTTTGTTGTACACTATATTGAAATGCAGAAGCCACCCTTCCATTTTCACTTGCCAATTTTTAGCATTCATTTTGGTGTCCTGGATGGGACTCACAAGAGGACTCGCACACATACACAGGGTGGAGGGGTAACATTTGACAAATGACAAAATGACAAAATCTGCATTGTGTCATTGAACTGTGGGTGAAAACTGGAGCTGCCCTAGAACACAGAGTACATGCAAACTCCACACAGAAGGTGCCCCAAATTGGACTCTAAAGCAACAGCACTAACTGCACAACCATTGAGCCTCACCTTAACAGATAACTATTGACAATATTTGTTAATGGTGATTCCTGGCATTTACTAAATACTGTAGCTCTTTTCTTTCCAAAGTCTTTCAAACATCATTACATATAGGAAGAAACCTACTTTATCACCAACTTTAGTGCAGCAATTCCATTGCACCATAGTTCAGTGGAATAAAAGGGAACATTCAGATATACCAGATTATCAAAGCCCAGAATGGGATTTAGTCAGTACACTGGGGTAACAATTAAAAACGGTGCCCCAAGATCTGTAATGGACTCTCTGAAGTTCTCATCTGAAGTTCAACAACTCTTACAGCTCAGTATTTTAGGTCACCATAAAGACGAACAGGCTTGGAAATTATTGTCAAGAGTGAAATGTGCCACCTACTGGTCAACCAATATCACTTAATGCAGCATCCTGTCTTCATTATTGTGGAAAGCGTTTTTGAATGTACTGTAAGTCAGGATGTGTTGTAAAATAACTTGTGTGTCCTCATGTACTGTAGTTATTTTTATGTTTTGGCTTTCCTCACAATTTTGTTTTAGATTGTTTTTACTGGTTATTACTATGATTATTTGTATTCATGCTAAGTGCTTTTCTAAAGCATCTCATGTTCTTAAGTCACAATACACTTGACCTGATCATATTGATATTCTTTCACCTGTTATGTTGTTTCAATCTTAGTTTGAATGAAACAGTTCTCCTATCTCTCTCAATAGAACCACTGGGGGAGCTAGTAATATTGCACAGGACAAGGGTAGCTCTATAAAAATCAACTTCTCCTGAAGCTCAGCAACAGACATAATTCAGAAAACAGACACAAACCACAGTTACATCTAAAACGTATGAGAGCAAGCAGAGACCACAGGGAAACAGAAACACATTTAGGAGGCTAGAACCAACCGAATGTAGTGAGTGAACAGGGAGGTGTGGGGATAAAGATGTCCAATGCAGTACACTCTCGAGGACTGAAGTTGTGTGTCTGTGGCCTATAGCACCTGCTGTCACAAACGGGGCTCAGGCTATATTAGTTTGATTTTCATGAGTGAAGCATTCCAGCATGAAGTTAGAAGAGTGCTGCATTCCAAGAGGTACAGTATTTTTTAATCTAAGAAAGATTAAACTGAAATTAAATGTTAACCAGCGGTAATATCAACATTCTGACTTTTCCCTTTCAAATTATCGTACGTCATCCTGCTACTTTAATGTAACATCTGCTCAATCAAACCTCTCAGTCATTGTTGGGTAGTGATTGCATCCCATTCCTTTTCTTTTTAAATACATTTAACTTTTAAGTCTTACTGTAGCAGCAAAAAGAAAGACAGAACATGGTGGTATTGCATTAGTTATTTTTTTTATTGAAGATAATTTGCCTTTATGAAAATATAATATTTATATAAATTATAATTATGCTGGATAAACTAAATGAGACAAAGGCGAGATTAATTCACACACTCTCTCAGACACATAGGATGATGTTTCCTTCTGAAATTCCTGGGCTCCACCCTTCAGGTCCATGAATAGTATTTCTCATGTGATCGCAATACAGGACACAATGAGGAGCAGAGTCAACACAGGAGACAGACGCTTTGAACTGAAGTTCAGGAGGCATATCGGCAAATTAGCAAATTTCACACAACTGTTCTAAATCACATTAATTCTCTGCATAAGCTATATATGAATCATGCAAACTCCTCTTTTTTGCATATTGTCTCGTGCATCTTTCCTCCACACTCTCAGCTTTGCAGATGCATCTTGTTTAACTCCTCTCTCTGAACAGGGGTTCGAGTCTCTTCATCCTGTAGCCAGGGAGCCAGGGAGCCAGGTACTCAGCCAAGTAAGTTAAGCCTAAACCTGTGCTTAAAATACTCAATACACATTTGCAATTCACCTGATTCTTGGATCTCATTACTCCTCATGAAAACCTGTTTAATGACTTTGTTTCCAAGTGGAAGGAAGTGCTAGGGACACCAGCCCCTGTTGAACAGTGTCCTGTCCCGAAGAGACCCGACAGCCCAAAGTTACATCTCTCATAACTCTCCTCTCCTCTCTGTATGCCTGATTCTCATTCTCTCACACACACACATCAGGCACAATCCTGAGAAGAGCAGAAAACAATCTGCTGTAAAAACTTGCATCCGCACAGGTTCAGCATTTTAAAGAAATAATTATTTTTTGAATAAGTTAATTACATAGAAATACAAAGTGCCCATTATGAAAGACTTTCCCCTATGAAAGAGAAACACTTCCACTTTCCATTCAGAGATTCAAGTAGGTGAACAGTGCATAATAAAAAAAAAACAATAATGATACTGTAAGTAACCCGTACTGTCGAGCTGTCTAGCCATGTTGCTGGAAACTCACAGCCGAACATGAGACTCTAATAAACAACTGATCAATTCTCAATTAAAATCTCAATCCATTTGGGCCTAGAAATAAATACATCTAACTGTTAATTCATTCATTTTCTTAGGTGATTATCAGATTCTCTCTCTTTAATTTCACTGTTCAGTACATAGAATGAGTAACAATGCTCATACATTTCACAACAGATTTGTTTTGCTATATCAAGTGTTAGGAGTCTGTAAAAGGCTTTTTTAGCGATTATGGGACTCTGAGAGGTAAAGTCCCTCAGGACACACACCTCCTCTGTCAACAGAGGATTATGGGAAATGTAGTTCTGATGGCAGAACTGTTTAAGGCTGTGAAGTCGGTGGGTCGTCTAGTACTGTAACACTATGTTAGGATTTGATTTTTTACCTTTTTTTTGAGTGGTGCAATTTCTCTCCTTTAAATGGGAGCTGCAGTTTTGCAGTATTGTGCTAGAAGGGAGAAGAGGACAGCTTCTGAATCCTGGGGTTGACAAAGAATCAGTTGAACCAAAATAAGTGAAATTCAATCACTTCACAAAAAAAGTAACATCTACTGTAAATACATATATAAAAAAATAAAATACTCTTTTCCTAATACAGACAGGCTGGGCGGTGAGTATAATTGGATTGAAAATTACTGTGTTCCATTTTATATAGAAAATGAAGACATGCTTTTTTGTACTGCTTAAACGTCACTCTTAGAAAAGTGAAGTTGCCTCTTTGAACATTTCCTGTTGGTACTGCACTTGGTAAGATTGTCTTCGACGCCATCTCCGTCTGCAAGCGGCACAGCAGCGACATTGCAGACACTGTAATATAGAGACAAATACTGTTCACTGACACAGCACACAGTGTAATACAGAGACAAGAACTGCCCACTGATACAGCACACAGTCTAGGGGAGGTGCAGTGGCTCTGTGGCTCAGGATCTGCGCCTGTGGCTGGAAGGTTGCTGGTTCGTATCCTCCGGCTAGCAGAGGAATCCTACTCCGTTGGGCTCCTGAGCAAGGCCCTTAACCCCAGCTGCTCCAGGGGCAGTGTACAATAGCTGACCCTGCGCTCTGACCCCAAGCTTCTCTCCCTGTACGTGTGTCTGTGTCTCATGGAGAGCAAGCTGGGGTATGCGAAAAGACTAATTCCTAATGCAAGAAAATTGTATTTGGCCAATAAAGTGATCTTAGAATACAGAGACAAGCACTTCTCACTGACACAGCACACACTGTAATACAGAGACAAGCACTGCTCACTGACACAGCACACACTGTAAAACAGAGACAGCACAGCTCACTGACACATCAGACACTGTAAAACAGAGACAACACTGCTTACTGTGACAGCACACACTGTAAAACAGAGACAAGCACTGCTCACTGACACAGCACACACTGTAAAACAGAGACAGCACAGCTCACTGACACAGCACATACTGTAAAACAGAGACAGCACTGCTCACTGACACATCACACACTGTAAAACAGAGACAACACTGCTCACTGACACATCACACACTGTAAAACAGAGACAACACTGCTCACTGACACATCACACACTGTAAAACAGAGACAGCACAGCTCACTGACACAGCACACACTGTAAAACAGAGACAGCACAGCTCACTGACACAGCACATATTGTAAAACAGAGACAACACTGCTCACTGACACATCACACACTGTAAAACAGAGACAAGCACTGCTCACTGACACAGCACACACTGTAATACAGATATACACTCACATATCCCAGTTTACTTACACACAGAAGGATCCAGAGGGGCAAGAGGAGGATTGCAATCCCACAGGGGATGATGATAGCCAGGGCCCAGCCTGGGAAACCCCCTTTACTGGCTGTGGTGGATGCTAATGAGATTAGGAGGACAGAAGTACTGGGAGCTCCTGTTGTAGTCAGATCGCCTGGATGTGAAAACAAAGAACAGCGTATTGAGGATCTTACTGCTCTTAGTGCAGTTGTTCATTCATTCTTACTGGACTCTGTCACTGACTGGACTAAGTACAACACATCAGTGCCAGTACATCTTTTAAAAATAATAAATAAAATAAAATTGTGAACAGTAAAATAATTTGACCATACCACTGATTTTGAGAATCTCGGCCAGGAAATTACTGGGAATCTTGATGTCTCCTTCTTCAAATCTGTACATCACATTGGCATAAATCACACTACTCATATTGCTGTGGAAACAGAGGAAGTCTGATCAGGTGACTCTCTAGAGGCTCTCTGAAGCTTTAGATGTGTATAAAAATGATTTTCCTGAAAGTTACAGTATGGTTGATGATGATTTTAACAATTATGAAGTCTTGGTTTTGCACAGATGTCATTGCATGTTCACTTGGATTTGGAGCTGGATAAGGAAGGAGAGAAGAGTATTTTAAATTGACTCACGTGAATTTTGTAGGAGGGAATGTGAACACGCTGGAATCTGGTTTTCCAAGGATTTGACTCAGCTGAAAAAGAATAGAACAAAGAGCCAAATGACCATGGGAACTACCTATTGCAAACATAAATGCAGCCAGAAAGTACAAGAGGCAATGTAAGATGTTGGATGGCCTATAATAGAAAAAAGTGACAGCTATATTCCTTTAGTATATACTTTTAGGAATGTGGAATGAAATCATCTTTGTTTTTTTTCTGTATATCTACAGTGTACATATATATTAATGCAGAATAAAAATAGTCAGATGAAGTTCATGCTTTTTATCCATTTAACAAAGGTGTGACTGGAAAGTAAAACTCAATCTGACCTTAGACAAAATCGATCCACCAAGACCAAACCTCACTGTAATCCTAGACTTACTGTATACCATGCAGTAACATTGGGATTCACCCATAAACTTTGGGAAAATCTATATTTATCAAACTACTGATTTCCCTCCTTAATGTACAAAAGCACACATTTTGTGATAATTTAAAATCATATTCACTAGTGTTAGTCAATATCTATTAAATCTCTAGTACTAAAATGCCCATTGGACAGCATTTATCACAGTTCTTGTGATGTTCTTGAGTTCCCAAGTGTAAGAGTCTCACCAAGGAATTGACAGCGCTTTCAATTTCAGTGTACGTTCCATTTGTGAATTCAAAGCTTTCTGTAACAGGCAGACTGCTCAAATTGAAGCCCAGAATAATGGCAAATGAATATTCACTCATCCCTGAAAAGAAAGAAAAGGAGAGGGAGCATAAAAACCAATTTGGTCTCCTAATAATTCCTATCTGTGAATTGGCTTCATCACTGTGTTCTCCTCCCCACTGAGAGCTGGTGTGTGGTGAGTGTACTGGTGCACTATGGCTGCTGTCACGTCATCCAGGTGGGGCTGCACACTGGTGGTGGTGGAGGGGAGTCCTCATTACCTGTAAAGTGTTTTGAGTTGAGTATCCAGAAAAGCGCTCTATACAGTAAGTGTAAGGAATTATTATTCAATTATTTAAACTAAAGTAGGACTGTATCACAAGGTGACATTTCATCTTAGACAAGTATGGTCACAAGTGAGAAAAATAAGCTACTGCAACAGGGGAAAAACACAGGCAGACATTCTCTCAACAGGAGTGTTACAGCAGGAGACAAACATTTCCACAGTGTCTTAGAGAAAACGTCTTAGGATCATAACAGACTGCAGCAGGCAGTCAGCAGTGAGCATGTTAATTTCAGCCAACCTGCCACTAGATGTTATTCAGGTCACTTGTACATTGATTCACAAGGGGTGAAACAGCTATTTACTTAGATAATTGGTGAAAGGTGAGAGTCACATTCTCACATGAGTTTCACTTTCTCTTTGTTATAGAAATGGATTCATGGGGATAGTGGATGTTGGGTTGCCTGATTTTGTGTGTGTGTGCAAATTGACTTGAATAAATCCTGAGTCACTGTATTTTTTCCATTCAGGTTGTCAAGAAGTACTGACTGAATATTACTGAGTGCCTTTTTTAATCTCATGATCACTGTGACAGGACATCAGCTGTGGTTTAACAGGGAGACCACAGCTGCCGCTAGTTACTTCAGTCCCAACTGTGCATAAGGAAGAGGAGAAGGATGTCTGCAGTTACTGACTGACTGTGTTGCTGTGCTTCTTTGTGCTCCATTGAGCAGATGTGAAGTGCAATCTAGGGTTTGTTGTGAAGCAGCTGGGATGTCATGGATCAACCTGTATGTTGGGTCAAAAAGAGTATTCTGAAGGAATGGTTACTGTTATAACTGACTTACTCTCATAAGAGATGTTTCTGACTGACACTCGATAGGTTCTCTCTGACTTGAAGGGCATCAGAAACAATTCATTGGCCATTTTCAGAACCACTTCCTCAGGAGGAGCTGGCTTTGTGGTGTTGAACTCCAGTCTGATGAACAGAAGTGCCCTGCCATTTCTGAAAAGACCAAAGAGATATTTTAGTTGTCTAAGGCAATACAACACTGAGGAGGGACGACAATCATTCCCTTAATCACTCTTCTCCTTCTGCTGCTTCAGTCACAAGACAACTCTCACATCAGGTTAATCGCCACCATCAAGTGACTTTGTTTCTGGGGATTTTGAAATCATCAACGTGTCCACCGGAAGGGATCTCCTTTCATTGGCACATGCAATTAGGCTTCAGGCCAAATAATTAGATTATTACTGAAGTAACATTACTTTGAGTTACCACAAGCATCTGTGTCGTATTTGTAAGATTAATGGATCAAACCTTAAGATTAACCTGAAGATGAGATGTTGGACGAATATTAAGACTTGCCTTTTAAGGGGTGGTGATACTGTTGGTATTGTAGTGGGAGCTGTAAGCTTTGTCACTGGCTGACCTGAATTGGAAAAGAAAAGTCACATGAAAAACTTGTTTGGACAAGTTTTTCTTACAGAAGGTTGTCTATAATAAGAACAAAAACAGCTATAATAATTAATTCAGTTTCTATAGTAGTTATATTACAAGAGCCCCTAGTATAATATATATAGAGAAAAGGCACTTATTTCACCACCTATATAATGCACAGATCCATTAATTGAGTTAAGGAGGAACGGCCATAGTCTTTCAAACATTGCAATGGGACTGCAATTTTTAATGATCACATTAAATTATTTAATGCAGGGTTGTTGCTTGACATTATTCTCATGCTTATTTTTCCAGACTGTGATTATTACTAAATAATGTTTTTGTATTGCAACTGACAAAGGATGAAGTAAAATGTCTCAGAAATGAGCATGCTTCTCCTCTCATTTGGGAACTGTCATGTATTCTTAAAGTAAAATAATAATATGACTTAATAGAGACTAAATATAGACTGACTTAATTAGACTTCACTGTAATTACCCTCTAATTGTCTATAATTCCCCTGAACAAAGGCTAATCGGTATAGAGAAAAGAGCAATAAAATATTGATTACATCTACAAAAAACAGTATCCAGAGCTGCTAAAATCCCAAGGTCCTGATGAGCCCCAAAATATTACTCAAAACCTTGGATCTTTAGTCAAATCCATCTTAATCTTGTGGCTTGTGGTGTGATCTGCCGCAGGGAAGGGACATGAAGCAGAACTGAGAGCACAGATCGATGTCAGTTGAGTGCAAAGCCACTGAGAAAGGTAAGACTTGGAGCATTTAATCAAACACAGACCATAGGTCTTTGAGTAATGTAAGAAAACTGTAGGACCAGGAGAAATCTAATGTGAAAATGGAAATAATCATGCAAAGTATGCAATGCCAGACACCCAGGAATGTGGTAGCATGGCGAACAAGTCCAAAGAGTCCAAAAAGGAAAACTGGAGCACAGTCCAAGTTCCAGGTGCCGTGAGATCCATCCAAGACAGACAAGGCTAAAATCCAGAATGGGATCCGGAACAGGAACAGGGAACCAGGGAGATAAAAACAGGATAACGAGGCCAGGTGCTCCGAGCCCCAGACTCAGATGGTTGGGATGCTGTGATGAAGCCTATGCCATCGGGTCTCTCTTGGACCTGCTGGTAGGTGGGCTTCTGGGTGTCCATCTTCCAATGCTGAGCCAGGAATAGTGGGAGTGCCAGGCTTAAATAATAACAGGTCAAAACAGGGGGCAGGTGCACGTCATAAAATAAAATACAAAAGGGATTGAGCACCCTTAAGAGGAGGGATGACGATCACGACACTGATAAAGGAAAAAGGAGTCACTGTCTCATGAGTAGCCTACAACACCCAGTCTCTGAAGACAATAACTTCAATGGGAATTAGTCAGTTGTGCTCAGTGACTTGCAAAAACCTAGGCCATTTGCTGAATTAATTACTACCTATGGAAAGTCATGGAACCAAACTATGCCTAAAAATTTGAAAAAAATAATACAGAGGAACACAATTCTAAGTTACGGAACAATTCTAAATGCCTGAATCTGAATACTGCATAAGTCTGGTTGCTCTTGTTCCTACCACTGATGGTCAGAGTGGCTGTGATGTCCTTGACTGATCCAGTGATGTTCAGAAGCTCCTTCAGTAGTTTGCTTGGGCTCTTGATGTCTCCAGTGTTGAAGCTGTATATCATTTCGGCCTGGATCTGATTGTTCTCAGTTCTGTAAAAAGACAGAGTAATGGTGCTTGTCCTTGTTTCTCTTGCTGGGTACTCTTACACTTATAAAATAATATAACAAAATAATATTTTTGGTTGATGTTGGAGTCTATGTCTACATTTTAGTATAAAATATGTTTGAAGCTCAACAGAGAGATTGTGTCACAAGTGTTATGGTATTAACTCAAGTGGGTACTGCATTAAATAGGTTTGTAATTCTTTGAACAGATTTACCTGAATTTAGCTGGAGGGAACGTTGACTGGTTGTCACCCAAATGTTTATTAAGTATATCCTTAAACTGGAAAGAAAGTAAAACCAAAGACACAATGAAGGCCAAATCATCTCATCTAACTGAAATTATTTAGATGGAAATATTAATCACAGATATGCTGCATTTAGTCATCACAAAATGCAATTTATTTTGCTGGACATGTCAGTGTTATTTGACACAGTTCTGCTTTGTTTGCGAAAGATGCATGACCAAACATTCTTGTTTTAAAACTTATTTGCAGAGATTACACAATACTGTGAATACAAAAACTAGTTTAACACAAATTCTTAATATCTAACATACACAATATAACCGAAAATGGCTTTGTCCAATTGCCTATTTTTAGTTCTATTTTAGATCATATAGATGCTCCTATATGTTCTGACTCACCACATCATTGATGGTCTCCTGGGTTTTGTTGTAAGTTTCATTGGTTAAATCAGCTCCTTCTGGAATGGTCAGATTGCTGATGAGGAAGCTGATATTGACAGCAAAGGCATCTGATGTTTTGTCTGTAAACAGTGAACATAATTATTGAACCCAGCAGAAAACACAACTAAAATAGTAAAAATACTTTATTTTATTTATTTACATGAGAAACCATAACTTACTCTCATAAGTGAATTTGAAGATGTTGACTAGATAGATTCCCAGAGATTTGTAAGGAGCCAGGACTGTAGACAGAGTTTTGATGACCTCAGCTTCACTGGGAGTATGTTGTGTGGTTATGAACTCAAGTCTTAGCACAGCAATGAGTGATCCATTTCTGCTAAAAATAGAAATAAGCTGTGACCTATGCATCTTCATTGATTAAATGTTTTCAATATTTTCTTCATGGTACACATATGCATATACAGTATATACTATACATTTAAAATGTGAGCATCTCTCAGCTGTGATCTCTACTGGTTGCACATGGGAATGATTACAACCTACAGCTAATATTTTCTCCAGGGGTCACACCTCAAGATCACTAATTTGAATTAAGGATGATAAAATGACTTATTTTGAATGACACGGAGAGAGGTTTTGTGTGGTAACTGTTTAAGTTTGTGATTGGTATTAAAGCCACAAAAGGCTGAATCTAACACTTTCTATTGTAGTGTCTATTACTGAGACATTTAAGGCTACTGTTATAGAGCTACAGTGTTATACAGGTACAGGTATAACAGGTAGGACATTTTACAATAATCTTTTTTTTCCATTTTTGAAGTTGTGGCAGAAAAGTGTTTCTGTTTTTTACTCCTGTATTTCCTTTTGAAAATAAGGAAAATTAGTTGAAAGCCATGTTCATCATTATGCAGTACACTTATGTATCTTGACTTACAAGAGACTAGTTAGATGCATGAATAGAATCTTGGACTTACACTTTAATGGGAACTGAAGAAGCTGTTGTGATGGGGGCAGCAGCAGCCCTGGTCATTGTAGCGGAAGCAAGAGACGTGAGCAATTTTGCTGAAGTAGCCGGAGATGTTGGAGGAAGAGTTGATGTCGAAGGTTCACTCATGGAGATATTAAACAAAGAAGCTGTAGTAGTGGGGGCAACTGGCGTAACTGTGGTGGAGGGTCTTGTCGAGGTTTCTGTTGTGACCATGGGCACAGGTGCTGCTGTCATGGGTGTGGTGGAAGGGGTGGTTTTCATTATGTGAGAAGTGCTTGTGGTTGCAAAGGTGGGTATAGATGTAGGGGTTAAAATAGTGGGGACTACCATGGGGGACACATTGGTGGGTCCTTTTGTTGTTGTAGTGGTGGGGACAGTAGTGGATATGGAAAGAAATTCTCCTGTAAGAGCTGCAGCTGTGCTCGTAGTACTGGAGAGTGTTACATTTGTGCTACTGATAGCTGGTGCCATGCTGATGGTGCTGGGTGGGACACCTGTGGTTGTATTGGTGGTTGTTGTTGTATTGGCATGTTTTGCAAAAGTAGTGGTTGTTACTGGTCTGATGGTAGTAAACTGTGTAACTGCTGAAACTGTAGGTACAGTTGTAGTTTTTGAAGAGCTTGTAGGTTTCATGTTTGGGGCAGCTAAGGTTGTAGTAGCTGAGACACCTGTGATTGTAGAAGATGGCAATTTTGTGATTGTCTGTGTTCGTGTGGTGGTAGCAGCATTTGTAGCTGTGGTTGATGGGGAAGCTGAGGTTGCAGTGGTGGGGGGAACTGTAATGACAGGGAGATGTGTGAATGTGGTTGTTGGTGAAGTTGTATTTATGATGGCAGTTCCTGTTGTGATGGGAACTGATGTGGTTGTCCTTGTCAGGGCAGCTGTGGTGGTTGGTGCAGTTGCAGTGGTGGAGATTGCTGCTGTGATTGAGGAAGAGGTAGCTGCAGTGGGAATTGTTGTTGAAATTTTAATGGGAGTACTTCTGGCTGTGTGCACTGTTGCATTTGTTGTCATTGGGGCCACAGTGCCATTGGGTTCCATAATGGATGTAGTGCTATGGGGGATTGTGGTAAACATAGCGTTTGTTGCTGGAACACTTGATAATTGGGTAGCTGTAGTTATTGTGCCTGATGTAGTTGTTGCAGTAAAGGTGGAGAATGTTGTAATTGTTGCAGCTGTGGTTGTAGGAGCTTTGCTGGTTGTGGTGGTGGAGAAAGATTCTGTTGGAACCATTGTAGTGCTTTGAGCTGATTTTGTAATGGTGAGAGTATGTGGGAGAGTTGAGGCTGAGGGTGGGAGAGTTGCAGTGGAGGAGGCAGCTGTAGCAGTAGCTTGCACAATTCTGGCTGTCGTGGGTGACACAGTAGTGGTGGACGATGCAGCTACAGGTGCATTAGTTGGCACAGTTCTGGTTGCCATGGGTAGGACAGCTACTGTGGAGGAGGAAGCTCTATTTGCAGCAGCTGGTACTGTACTAGATATTGTATGTGAGACAGTTGTGGGTGTGGAGGAGACCGTCGTAGTGTTAGAGGCAACTACAGCAACACTATATGGCACAGTTCCGGGTATTGTGGGCAGGGCACTTGTGGTTGTGGGTGACAAACTTGTATGGGAGGAGACAGCTGTAATTTCAGCAGACAACACTGCTCTGGTTCTCGTGGGTGGGACAGTAGTGGTTGTGAAGGGGATACTTGCTTGGAACATGGAGGCAGGTGTCCTTGTAGCAAGTAATGAGGTTACAGAAGAAGATAAGGAGAAGACAGTTGATCTTGATGGAGATGCTGTAGTTGAAGAAGTGGCTGTACTTGAAGATGTGATTGTTGTAGACATTGTAATACCATCTGGTTGAGAAATTGATGCTGCAGCTGATGTGGTCTGGAGAGTGGTTAAAACCATTGATCTGGTTGTTGATGGAAATGTTGTAGTTTCAGTAGATTGTGGATTTGGGCTCATGTTTGAATTTATTCTGGATGTGGTAGCAGGTGGAGTAGTACTTGTCAGAGCAGACACTGTACTTGGTGGCACAGCTAATATGGTTTGGATAGTGGTTGAAGCAGAAGGACTTGCTGGTTGAGATGTTATTGGTGTTGAAGAACCTGATATGCTTTGGAAAGTGGTTTTTATACTTGGAGCTTGTGTTGTTCTTGGATATGCTACAGATTCCATAGATGGAGGATTTGTAGACGTAGTTAAAGTTATTCTTGTAGTGGTAGCAGGTGGAGTAGTACTTATAAGGGCGGTTGTTGTACTTGGTGGAGCAGTTGATATGGTTAGCACAGTTGTTGAGGCAGGACGGAGACTTGTTGGTGATGAAAGCGCTGAACTTGTAGTCGTTGTAGTACCTCTTGAACTTGAATCTGTGGATTGAGGTACTGCACTTGTTTCTGTTGAAGTAAAAGTTGATGTTGATGGAGGTGCTGTAGGTGCAATAGCTGATGGATGTGAAGTGCTGATTGAAGTTATAGTATCAGTGGATTGTTGAGAAGTACTTCCTGGTTGAGATGTTGTTGGCGATGAAGAAGCTGATGTACTTTGGAAAGTGGTTTTCATTCTTGGAGCTTGTGTTGTGGTTTGAAATGCTACAGATTCCATAGATGTAGGAATTGTAGACGTAGTTGAAGTTATTCTTGTGGTGGTAGCAGGTGGAGTAGCACTTGTAAGAGCAGTTCTTGAACTTGGTGGCGCAGTTGATATGGTTTGCATAGTTGTTGAGGCAGGAAGGAGAGTTGTTGTTGATGGAAGTGCTGTACTTGTAGTCATTGTTGGACTTGAATCTATGGTTTGAGGTACCGCACTTGTTGTAGTTGAAGAAAAAGTTGGTGTTGATGGAGATGCTGAAGGTGCTACAGGTGATGGATCTGAAGTGCTGATTGAGGCTATCGTATCAGTGGATTGTTGAGAAGTACTTGCTGGTTGAGCTGTTGTTGGCATTGAAGAAGCTGATGTACTTTGAAAAGTGGTTTTCATACTTGGAGCTTGTGTTGTGGTTGGAGACGCTACATATTCCATAGATGGAACATTTGTAGACATAGTTGAAGTTATTCTTGTGGTGGTAGCAGGTGGAGTAGTACTTTCAAGAGCAGTTGATGTACTTAGTGTCGCAGTTGATATGGTTTTGATAGTTGTTGAGTCAGGAAGGAGACTTGATGTTGACGGAAGACCTGGACTTGTAGTACTTCTTGTACTTGAATCTGTGATTTTAGGTTCTGCACTTGTTCTTGTTGAAGAAAAAGTTGGTGTTGATGGAGATGCTGTAGGTGCTACAGGTGATGGATGTGAAGTGCTGATTGAGGTTATCGTATCAGTGGATTGT